CTCAAAGGCGACGCCGAAGACGTCTTCTAAGTGTAAAGAAGTGAACCGTTTGTTAGAGAAATGGGGCGAAAGTGTCGGCATTTTTGATACTCTGAGCGGCGCTCAGACGCGACTCATTGGCTTAAGACAACTGCAGAACTACTTTGTGGTGAAGTTGTCGTCACTAAACAGTTCCGATTGTGTGCTCTTGTGTTCACTCATCAGCAGTCGTTACCCGCGTTTCTATACGTCGACAGTAAACTACTACCAGAGATGGCGAATGCGATACAACCTGTTTGTGGTGTCCGACACTCTCATCACTGTCTCGGGTCGAGTGCCGGAGAGACCGCTCTCTGCCAGCGATTCCGTGGCCGACATGAGTGCCGACCAACTCGTGCTACACATCGGAGAGATTCACCTCTACTTCGATATTGTGCCCAAATATTGTCAACCCGTTTACGTCAACAGCTCTTTCTATCCCAATAAGTCGGCCATCAATCAGATGCCAGACATTGTCCTCAATGACGAAGTGATGGCACGGATCACACGAATCGTCAATTCCATCCGCTATTCCAAAGACATCTTCCAATTCAAGTTCCCGTTGAGTGAAGACCTCTTCCACCGACGCAACCAAATGTTCGACAAGTTCTTCGAGCGTCAGATGGAATTCATCGAAGAGTCGGTCAAAGTGTTCCGCAAGAGTGAGCAGAAGAAGAGGAAGTTTCACAACTGGAACCAAAAGCAACACAAACGCAATGAACGCAATGAACGCCAAGAAGTCAGGGATTACTTCGCCTACGACTACGACAACAAACACAAGATCTCAGACAATGACTATCACTGCGATTACAGCGGAAACACTAACGCCATCAGTGGTGTCAACACATTCGCCGCCACCTCTCACACTCCCAAGACCCCTCACAGGCATCACAGGACCCGTCACTGCGAGACCAAAGCCAAGGCCGACACCAAAGCTAAGGGTGCGGACCGATGGCACCGATTCACTGACTCTAACCGCAAATGTGATACTAATCCCAATTACTACTACTGACCACTAACTCATCCAAAGACTCGCTTTTAAGAGACTGTCTTAAGATTGTGTTTAACTTATTCCTATGTTTTGTATATACCTTTGGTTTAAATTGTTTTCAATTTTTTGTATTTTATTCTTAATATTAGAGATATTTTTATGGATTTTATATATATTTTATTTAATATATTTAACGTTGAATTTAAGTTATATTTTGTAAAACAAATACACTATTTATTTGTACTTTTAGTTTGAGTTTAAATAAATTAAAACTTGAAATAATATCAAAACTTAACTACAATTGAATGCAAAAAAGTATTCAAAGAGAGCGCCAATGAGTGAGTGATGAGAGATGGGAACGGGACGGGTATGGGAGAGACAGGTCGGGAACAAAACATGACAAACCATTGATTGTGATTCACTGATAGGACGATAGAGTGATTGGCAAAGCCATACACAACGCATAGAAGCGGTCACTCAACTCAACTCCGCCCACAAAACACAGCAATACTAGCGTTCGATTGGTTGACACGATTGTAGGCATCGATCAAAACATTCGATTCGCAAACCATTGGATCAATCGATCGATCCATACATTTGGTCCACATTTGGTGTCCATATCTTGGGATCCATTGACTCACAAATCGATGCTTTGATTATCAATCGACGCCCGAAGAGAGCGCTTTCGACCCATCGATGCCTTGGAATCTCTGTACGAGAAGTGGTGGCCAACAGTCGACGGCCCGAACTCTACGATCGAATCACACGTACGGACAGCACAAGTGGTCCCAAAACCCGAACGCAGTCTTCGCCGACAATGGGATCCGAACCACGAAATACACGATCATTACGTTTTTGCCGAAGAATCTGTTCGAACAGTTCCACCGGTTCGCCAATCTGTACTTCTTAGGCATTCAAGTACTCAATTGGATCCCAGGTTTGCCACCACTCGATGGCCACAGTCTTCGCGAGTGTCTAACGCATTGTCCACTCACTTAGGGATCACTGCCTTCGCCAAAGAGGTCCAGTTATTGCCACTGATATTCGTGTTGGGCGTCACTGCTGTCAAAGACATCTTCGAAGACTATCGCCGATATCAGTCCGACAAACGCGTCAATAACTCCGTGTGTCGTGTATTTGATCCGTAATTATACATCACTTGTATGTCTTCGAGTGTTTAATACATGCGTTAATTGGTTTAGAAAAAGCGATCGATTCGTCAAAACCAAATGGGAAGCCCTCAGAGTCGGCGATATCGTCCACTTGTCCTGTGAGTGAATCCATTGAATTGATTGGCCAATGAATGGCCGCAAAACTATGACCATTGATTGACACAATACATGTGTTACGTATAGGCGATGAGACGGTTCCGGCGGATCTACTGGTGCTGAGCGCGAGCGACGACTCGGGCCTGTGTTATGTCGAGACGTCTAATCTCGACGGCGAGTCTAACCTAAAGCAACGGCAAGTGATTAAGGGATACGCGAATCGGGGCCACACTTTCACACCCAATCAGTTCACGGCTACCATTGTGTGCGATCCGCCCAACCATCAGATCTATCGCTTCAATGGTTTTATAACCGAAACAAATGGCGAGAAAATAGCCATCAATAAAGACAATCTGCTTCTTCGCGATTGCATTCTGAAGAACACGGACTCAATCGAAGGGATTGTGGTCTACGCGGGACACGAGACCAAAGCGATGCTAAACAACGGCGGACCGCGTTATAAGAGGAGTAAACTCGAGAGATTCATGAATCGGGACGTCGTCTGGTGTGTCATTATTCTCCTATTGATGTGTATTTCCGGATCCATTGGTAACACATTTAACACACCATTTATTATTACATTTACTGATTAGTCGATTGTAATCATTATATAAAAGGTTACGGTCTTTGGTTATCCTCTTATGACGATCAGAGAAGTGTTGTATTTCTGTATGGCTTTGAAACTGAGAGCCCGGTCTGGGATGCGTTCCTCATATTCTGGACGTTTATAGTGTTATATCAAGTGATTATACCGTTGTCTCTATACGTGACCATTGAATTGATAAAATTGGGACAAATATATCACATCTTAAGCCAATGAGTCGCGTCTGAGCGCCGCTCAGAGTATCAAAAATGCCGACACTTTCGCCCCATTTCTCTAACAAACGGTTCACTTCTTTACACTTAGAAGACGTCTTCGGCGTCGCCTTTGAGGCCATCACTGACTGACCACTCGATGAACACTTGGATTGCGTTTCCATTGTTTGCAATTCATACCAATCAGTGCTTCGTTTGGCCTCTCGTTTGCGAACAAACTCTTCACCCATTCTAGCGGTCCATCAAAACCCGTTAACCTCTCGGCCGTCAACTCATTGTCTCATTTCTATCCTTACCTTTGATTAGCCATAAAGAAGTGGTTGTCATCTGAAGAGCCACTGCTGTCGTCATCGCTTCCATTGAGTCCATTGGCGTTCACTTCGATGTCATTGTCTCTGAAATCGACACAATCTTCAAACTCATGGCACAACTCATTCATCCCATTGTCGACAGTCAGAGAGTGGTCTTCAAAGTCGTCACCATTTGCTTCACTCTTCTTATCAAAGAGTTTATGGACTAAAGAATGAGACAAAAAGTGGTCAAAAGAGTGGACAAAATGCAAAGACAATCAAAACTTACTTTTATCCCTAAATCCTGTCATAAAATTCATTTGTATTTCAGTTAAAGCTTTGAATGAATGAAAGATTGGATTCAAAGAAGCGATGGATTAACGGATTAAGCGATTAATGGCTTAAAGTTCAGTGAATTTGATCTCAAAATGCAATCAATGTTTGCATCAAATTCTGGACACAAAAGGACTGAAGAATCGAATGAATGAATGAATGCTTCAATGCTTTCAACGCTAAACACAATTCAAATGAAATACAGTTTGTGTTAACAATACTCTCATCGCGAGAGCTATTGAAGCCATTCATAGCCAAGAAGTGACAAAAGTATAACTTTTATGAGACTTTGGTTTTACAGTTAATTCAAACTAAACTTACATTTCAAGAGATTTTCGGTTCAAATGACTAACGAATAGAAAGTGAGGATTGAATGCACCGTTAGTTTAGTTCATAAGTTATAGACAAATATTTCTCGAGTTTTAAACAATTAATTAGTTTTGAATTTAAATTCAATCAATCAGTCATTCAAACAGTTTATCAGTTATTCAACAGTTTTTTGCACTCATTTTTAGATTTGTTTCAGACTTTAAGACATCCAAAGAAGACATTCAAAGCAATGAAATCTCGATTAAAACCACAGAATGTGTTATCGTTTCCATCAGTGAATCCCGAAGAACAAGAGTTGGCGGTAGTGTTGGCCCTCTTCTGTCCGAAACACACGAAGATTGCCATCAGTTGTACGACAGAAGCGAAGAATAAGCGCTTCCTTTGGTTGCCTTTCGTTTCCGGAAATCTCAACGAAACTCAAGATTTCGTGGATTTGATTCAAAGAGGAATTCAAGTGATTTTCAGCGCAAAAGTGGATTCAAATGCAGACAACAGTCCATCGCTTGGAAGCACTGAAATACAGATCAGACCCGAAGGACCGGCCGTTGAAAGAGTGGTTCAACTGATTCTCATCGATGAGTCGGTCAAGTGTTGCCAAAACAAAGAGCGAATCCAATGGATGTCAGAGAAAGAAATCAAAGCAGAGATCGGCAAAGGAGTCAATGGATGTCTTTGGGGTCCAGAAGTGCTTCGAGTGTTTCAATTGGCGGTCAAACACCACAAACAGATCGCAGAGAAGAGGGAAGACTTGGAATTAGACGACGACTACTATTGCGGGTATTATTTGCACGAAAAGAGCGACAGATATTCAGTGAAGACTCAGTTCTCTAAAGACGACAATCAGTTGGTGTCTGAAGTGAACATCACTGGAGAACAGATCCAAATACTTCAGACACTGTTTTACACGCATTGCTTCCCGAGTATAGGAATGTCCGGCCAATCATTGTTCGAGTTTTTGTCACTTTTGGGCATCAATTCGGACAAAGAAGAGAAGGAAAACCTCTTTAAGGCCTTCAATACAACGAACAGTGGATTCGTTGGGTTCGACGAACTGGTGGTCGGATTGGCAGCAATGGAACCGCTGACAGATCTCAAGCCATTGGTGTCAAGGAATCGCTTTGTATTCAACAACTTCTGCGACAGAAAAGACAAACTCTTGAAGACTTCTTCTGTGAGGAAAATGTTGACAAAAGTGAACACAAAAGACACTGAAATGGAGAAGAAATTGAATGATAACTACTCACTAAGCGTTTTACCGTAGTGAAAACTCTTTAAGTTATGATTTCACCAAAGTTTACACAAGTACAGTTTGTGTCGTTCGCCAAACAATGTCTTCTCGGCGTTGAAAACAGATCCCGAAGACGCTTACGATTCGCTCTTTAAAGATATCGTCACAGAAATGGTCACCACTTCTGCCGACAAAGACATTCCTAGAGTTGAACACAAAGTGAATCCCATTTCCTATGAGTTGTCTAAAGATGGGATCACTTCTTCGGGCCTTAAATTCAATGAATGTAAGACTCAGTGAAAGAATGAATGAATGATTTGTAGACTTGTTTTCATTCCCTAATTGTGTTTCAGTTGCGGACAAGTCTTTGGAAGAGAAGGAGAAGAAAGCAATGGATACCAAATCAGTGGCCAATGTCTTCATCCAAGAGATCATTAGGTTTAGCAAAAGTGGAGCCAAAGGAACAGTAGATAAACCGAAAGGTCTCATGGAATCAGATCCTCAAAGATTGGAACAAATGCTAAAGAGTTTGTGCGAAGACGTGAAGAAAATACTGATGAGTGAA